TTCTTTTCCAACATGCGGACATAAGTGCCAGCTTTATCTACATGGACACAGGTGCCAGCTTGGAACAGCAGAGCCAGGGCTGGATTTCAGCATCACTGCTGCCTGTTGCCCAGGCTGGAATGCAGTGGTGCAATCTTGGCTCACTGTAACCTCTCCCTCCCAGGTTCAAGCAATTCTTTTATCTCAGCCTCCTGAGTAGGTGGGACTACAGGCATGCGCCACCATGCCCGGCTAATTTTTTGTATTTTTGGTAGACCTGGGGTTTTACCATGTTGGCCAGGATGGTCTCAATCTCCTGACCTCATGATCTGCCACCATGTCTGGCCCACTGCTGCCATTTTCTAGGTCATCTGTGTAAGGCACAAACCTTAAAATGATATTCAATGGCCCTGATGGCCCTTAACCCCATCCAAACTGCTCATCAACACCTTTGCCCAAACAGATGTCGCAAGAACAGGATGTGTGTGGTCTCCTGATAAGAAAAGTTGGATTTTCTCCAAATCTTAACCATGAATCTTTACACAATCAGCAGCTTTGACAGTCCTGAGGTTTGTGAAGACCAGGAAGTCCAGTAATAGTAATTGAAACTCCCGGGGCCCGCAGTGTAGAAGTAAATGGGCCTGTGCCCAGCCCCACCCTGTTATGTCTCAATACAACCACAGCAGTGCCCCATAGTGCATTCCGTCTGCAGCCCCAGTTTTTAAACCCTACAATATTAAGAACCTTTGAAACTTAATAAAAGGTTATACGGGCACATCCTGCTGCAGAAAAACAAGATTGACATGACCAAATTTTGTGTCACCTGTGAAAAACATTACCTGGCCTGTTACGGTTTGCTATTCCAGCACTGGGAGGCACACCTGGGATTAATACATTCTTGCTGAATTTCTCAAAGAAGGTGTATCAGTGCTGCAGTTCCAAGCATATCAGGCATCCAGAGCGGTAGTGGGGGTAGCTTCTAGTACTCAACTGTTTGCTCAATGTAGAATGCTAAAAGGACATCATTTAACTTCATGTTGCAATTAGGAAAGCCGAAAATCAGACAGGGGCGGTGGCCTGCCCAGAATCCCACAGTGAGTCAGGGCTGAGCTGCAGCCGCAGCCCAGGTGTCTACTTCTCTGCATTCACCCCGTCATTCATTTATTCACACAATTACTTACTGAGCACCCACTCTGCGGCAGGCACTGTGCTCGGTGCTGGGGGCACCGATGATGATACAGACAAAGTCCCTGCCATCGTGGCATTTGAGGTAGGAAATGCACAAGTATACAAATAAGCGAAACAACGACAGATCCCGACAGGGGTCAGGAAAAGCCCGCAGGGAAGAGCGACCATGGAGCTGCTGCCTAACGATGAGAAAGCCAGAGATGGAAAAACCAAGTGGCGGGTGTTTCCAGCTGAAGGAAGTGCAAAGACAAAGGCTCATCTGAGCAACAGAATGCAGTCTGGGTCGGCTGGCCTGTGGCAAATGACACTGGGAGCAGACCGAGTAACAAGAAGGGAGACAAGCGGCAGGTCACGGAAGCCTCAGTAGAGAGCTCCGACTCACTCTGAATGCGGTGGGAGGCCACTGAAGGGTGTGTCCAAGCGAGAGGGAGACCTGCTCTGATTCTGAATTCCAGGAAAGGCATCAGACTCTTGAGACACCACCAGCACTTCCCGTTTCTCACTCCTGGTGCCTCTTGGTGACCCTCCTCACCATCTGGCTTCAGCACTGCAATGGAGGATGCCCATTCCTGTGTCCTCCACATGACAATGGGACCTTGCCTGCCTGTGATAAATTGACTGTGTGCCTTCCAAATTCATATAGTTCATATACTGAAATCCTAACACACAATGTGATCATGAGGTGGGGTCTTTAGGAGGTCATGAGGCCATGAAGGTAGAGACCCCTGAGTGCCATATGAGGACACAACAAGAAGACGTCTATCTGCAAACCAGGAATCAAGCCCTCCACTGACACTGAATCTGCTAACACCTTGATCTTGGCCTTCCCAGCCTCCAAAACCGTGAGAAAGAGATGTTTGTTGTTTAAGCCGCCCATTGTGCAGTGTGAGAATGCCCTCTGCCTCCACCACAGAGAATTCTGGCTGCAGAGAAAAAGCAACATCCAACAGGTGACCATGTGTGGCATCTTCTGGTCACTCTGGTTCAGCTGGACCCTACCTATGCAGACCAGAGCCCTCTCTGTCAGGGGGTTTCCAAGAAACTTCTCCTTTCCCCAAAAGAGGAAGTAGCAGCAACCACACATGTTCCCCCTGTGGTTATCTTCTGCAGAGTGAGAGGCCCACAGGGCTGCCGAGAAGGGCTTAGAGTCCACCCCAGTGCCTCGCAGATTCCAGGCCTGGGCAGAGAATAGGCGAGAAAACTGAAAAGTTACAGGACACAACCCGGGGAGGAGAGGGCACAGAGCATTCCAGCCTCATTCTACGCAGGGAGCCACACCACCAGGTCCTCTGCTGGGCAGGAGATGGAGGTGACTGAGCTACGGCCCCTGCCTTCACAGAGCACGCCGGCTAGCAGGCCAGAGGCACACCATCCATGGCGCTCCTCATGAGCTCTGCCCAGAGACAGACCTTTGCAAATGTGGAGATCCTTAATGACAGTGACGGCACTGCAGAGAGGTGGGATTGCAGGGCCATGTCAATAAGCAAGGCCAATAGGTAAACAGGGACCTTACAGAGTCCCCAGTGAAAAAGACAAGCAATAAAGGTCCGAGAATGATAACTGCCCGCACTTGCACAGCACAGAACAGCATTGTTCTAAGTGCTTGGCTCTTCGGAACTCCTCTTAAGCCTCACAAGCCTATGAGGTTGCAGCAGTAAATACAGGAGAAACCTTCATGCCTGCCAAGGATGACACTGGCTCAGGGCAGAAGGCTTTGGTACCAGGAGGACTTTATTAAATTTTGTGTTGCAATTGGGAGAGTCGAAGTTCAACCGTATCAAAGGACTGATAGGGTTGTTTAAAGTTGGCAACTTCTATTCATCACAAAACTCCATTAAGAGAGTACAAAATGCAAATTGCAGGATGGAAAAGGACACTGAGAAGCACATAAACCCAAAGGAATACGTGAAGAACACCTACAAACCATTAAAATAATCCAATCCATAATGAGCAATGGCTTTGAAAGGACACTTCACTGGAGAAGGCAGAAGGACGGCAAAATAAGCCCATGAAAAGATGCTAAACATCGTTAGTCCTTAGGGAAATGCAACTTAAAACCACGATGAGAGACCACTGCACATTAATGCAGTGACACACTAAAAAACACTGACCAGGCCAGGCATGGTGGCTCACACTGGTAATCTCAGCACTTTGGAAGCCCAAGACAAGAGGATCGCTTGAGGCCAGGGATTCAAGACCAACCTGGGCAATATAGTGGCCATCATGGTCAATCTCTACGAAAAAAAATATTTTATTAGCCAACCATGGTGACATACCTGTAGTCTTAGCTACTCAGGAGGCTGAGGTAGGAGGATCATTTGAGCCCAGGAGTTCCGGGTTGCAGTGAGCTACTATGGCACTGCTGCACTCCAGCCTGGGTGACCGAGCAAGACCCCATCTCTAAAATAATAATAATAATGACCATATCAAGTGCAGGTGAGAAGGCGGAGTACCTGGAACTCTCATATGCTGCTGGCAGGAATATAAAATGGTGCAGCCACTCTGGAAAATATTTGTCATAATCTGGCACAGTTGAAGCTATCCGTACTCTAAGACCCAGCAATTTCACCTCGGATAAGTACATGGAATTGGACAAATCTCTAAGAATATCATCAGTGGCACTGATCGTGATGGCCATCCTAGGAACAAGCCAAGTGTGCATCAAAAGACAAAAAAAAAAAAAAAAAAAAAAAGATAAATAGTGATGTATTTAAATAATGCAGCAACAGAAAACCAAACACCGCATGTTCTCACTCATAAGGACAAGTTGAACAATGAGAACACATGGACACAGGGAGGGGAACATCATACACTGGGGCCTGTCGGGGGCGGGGGACAAGGGGAGGGTCAACATTAAGACAAATACCTAATGCATGCAGGGCTTAATACCTAGATGACGGGTTAATAGGCGCAGCAGACACTATGGCACATATATACCTACATAACAAGCCTGCACATGTGTCCCAGAACTTAAAGTAAAATAAATAGTAATAATAATAATGTAGCAACACAACAATGGAAATGAGAAAACCAGCTACACAGAAATGGATCAGTGAATCTTACACACGTAAATGTTGCATGAAAGAAGCAAGGCACTGGAGAATACACACAGTGTACATGGCTCAATTTATATAAAATTCACAAACAAGGAAAATGAAACTCAATTGTTCGGGGATCTCATAGGCAGTTAATTTCTAAGGAAAAACAAAGAAGTAACCCCCATCTGAATCAGGACTCTGACTACCTCTAATGGAGAAGAAGGGAATCATGGCTCTGAAGAAACTCAGTTAACTTCTGGGCCAGCCAGTGACGTTCTATCTTCTGTCTGATTTCAGTATCTTGCCCTCAAAGCCACAAAGATGGGTGGCCGTGAATCACACCAGTACCGAGGAGTTTCGCTTCCCTGGTACTTTCTGCTGGTGGTGATGGATACAGCTTTGCTCAGAGAAAAGGCACCAGATGGAACTGTAATTCCACCCCACTGCTCTTCTATGTTCGTCACTGGCTCTGTGTCCCACCAGCTCTGTGATCCAAGCCTCGGTTTTCCCACCTGTTCATGGGGCATGCCGGCCCCCAACCTGCCTAGCCCATAGAGTGGAATCATGAATGTTAAAGGGCTCTGGGAGCTAATGCCTGAATGCCAGAGATCAACGGGGACTCGAAGGACAGCCAGACTGCTGCAAGGCTGCAGGGAGAGCGAGGCTCACCTAGACCACACAAGGCTGGCCCCGAAACACCTTGTCCTTCTCTACGCTGCCCGGAAGGAGAAGTAGGTACAGCTGACAGGCTGCCAATTGAATTCAGTATACCATGTTTCACCAGCCAATGGGCTGGGGCGATCCGGAGCAGGTCACAGCCTGCTCACAGCCGGTTTCCTGTTTTCAAACGGGGAACTTAGCAAAGTGGCAGCCCCTCGGCTGGTCACCGGAGCTTGGAACCGAGAGCTTGAAGGAGCCATGTGACACTCCTCCTGGACCCCTGGACACACACAGCCCCAGAGACTGGAGGTCAGTATTTGATCCCAAGCTCAGCTGTCCTCTGTCCACTGTGGGCTGAGTACCCCCTCCTGGGACCCTGCCTGGCACCTATTGGGGGCAGGGTGGGACGGGGAAAGGTTGGTGACAGCCGCTGTGTCTGGAGCTCTCCTTAGCACACGGAGGCAGAGGAGGGGGCAGCTCCTGGACCCTCAATCACCTCCATTCCTTTTGAAATGCTAGGCACTTATACAACCCATCTTGGGCCTGGAGAATAAGTCACCACACCTGTGTTTCTCAAAAAACAGTGTCAGGGAACCCCTGTGTCAGCATAGCCTTAGGGTACTCGTGGAAAATACAGAATCCAGGCCTGTTCAAAGGCACTTTCCTATGTTAGGAGCCAGGAAACCTGCTTTTAAATAAGCCCCTGGTATCCCACCCCCACCTCCACACCCACCCGCCAGGGATTGTCACACACACTCGGGCTGGGAGCCCTGGCTTTGGCAAGACTTCTCAGCTGAGCATCTAGGTGTCGGAGGTTACCCATCCTTTCCCCAACAGAGGCAGCCACACATCCAGTGTCCCAGGATCTCCTGTCTCCTGGAGTGAGCCAGGTGCTTTATTTTACCCCTCTGGAGGCTCATTCCCCATGAAAAGTCCTCCGCAGACCCTCAGAAAGATAGCATGACCTCTGTGTGCCCAGCAAAAGGACTGGAATTGGCAGGCAGCTCTTGGAGAGCAGGTGGTCAGGACACCTGGGGATAGGAGGAGGAGAATGACTGTCTATGCACACAGGGCTGGAGGGTAGTGGGGGCTGGGAAGCTGCTCTGTCCCCTGGGCCAACTACAGGTCCCTAGGCCAACAGCACCAACACTTGCAGTATTTTGTTATAAAGTCGAGAAAGCTTTGTTACAGAGGGTGAGGAGAGGAGAGGAAAGGTCCATGGAACTGTCTATGTGGCTGTCCCCAGAGAGCTTTTAGAGCGACAGGATTGCTTTCCCATTTCACAGATGAGGAAACTGAGGCCTGGAGAGGGATGGGAAGCTGCCCGAGACCCAATGAATACACCAATGCTCAACTCTTTCCTTCCACCTCCTCTTTAAATGTGTGACTCCCATTGAAACCCGTAAGAGACAATATGACAACATAAGGGAGCTGACTGTGGCTGCTGAATTTGATTTTTATTCTCTCTTTTTTTTTTTCTTTTTGAGACAGAGTCTCGCCCTGTTGCCCAGGCTGGAGCACAGTGGTGCGATCTCAGCTCACTGCAACCTCTGCTTCCCGGGTTCAAGCAATTTTTCCACCTCAGCCTCCCGAGAAGATGAGACTACAGGCGCATGCCAGCAGGCCCTAAATTAGTAATTTTAGTCGAGAAGGGGTTTCACCATATTGGTCGGGCTGGTCTTGAACTCCTGACTTCAGGTGATCCACCCACCTCGGCCTCCCAAAGTGCTGGGATTACAGACGTGAGCCACTGCACCCGGCCTGATTTTTATTCTAAGGCCTGGTTTCATGATCAGCTTTCTCAGTCTTTACTGGAGTTGTTGTATTTATAGTGATGCATTTCAATAATGCAGCAACAGAAAACCAAACACCGCATGTTCTCACTCATAAGTACAAGTTGATCAAGGAGAACACATGGACACAGGGAGGGGAACATCATACACCGGGGCCTGTCAGAGGGCGGGGGGCAAGGGGAGGGAGAACATTAGGACAAATACCTAATGCATGCCGAGGCATCATTTCTGGTGTCTTACAAGGTATCTGGTCCAACATTGCCCCGCTTCTGACCTGGAGCCAGCTGCCTGGTCGTGAAAGCAGATCTGCAAAGGTTGGGGCCCCTGTGACCAAGGCCACTCGCCATCACCCATTTTATAGCAGTGCTGAGCATAGGAGTGCCCAAGGAAAACCCTGGGCCCCCAAGAATCTCAGCTACCAAAAATCACGTAGGCCACCAGCTATCTCACTTAGGTATCTATCAGAATACAGGAAACCTCCCCTCCAGTCATCTATCATCTTATCAACAGGACGGAGCTTGTAGCCACACTTTTCACGTGGGGAAACTAAGGCCTAGAGCTATTAAAGAACTTGCCTAAGGTCACACGGTTGTTCAGGATGGAAGGCCATGTCTCCTGACTCCCTGACAGGGACAAGAGAAGCGAGAGGTGTCCGTGACAGCATGCTCAAGAATGTGCAGCCCTGGGCCAGCCAGGCCCCCGTGCCTGCCTCAGTTTGCCCATCTGTAAAAGGTGAGGTTGGATCAAGGGTCCCTGAGGGCCACCCACTGGACAGCTATGCAGAACCACAGAGTTCCTTTCACCTGACACAGCAAGCACTTCCCTGTGACGTGCAGGCTCCAGGCCCCAGCTGACCTCCCCTTTCCCAGGCCAGGGGCTCTCACCCATGGAGCAAGGGACGGGCACTAGCTGTGCTCAGGGACATGCATGACGCCCCCCCCCGGCCCCCATCTGTGCTCAGGGGTGCCAGGGTGCCAGGGAGGCATTGGCTCTATCTTTCTCTAGGCTGTAGTCAGCCCAGGGGCCAGACCAAGGGCCCAGAATCCCACAGACTGGAGTTCAAGTCCCAGCTCTACCTCTGTGTTCCACTGGCAGCTTCCTCAGGTCCTGGTAAGAGAAAAGTGAGGTCACTTGCACCTCCCTCGTCTTGAATTTCTGTGCCAAACTGGCATACCAGATACTCGCTCCAGCTGAGCTAATGCTTTAATTGTCCCGTTTTTGAAGTTGTCTCAAACATTTGTAATTCTATTCCAGTCCACCTTAACTTAGTCATTTATTTCACAAGTATTTCTGGAAGCATCTAGGATTTGCTGGACACTAAGAGCAGGGCTACTACACAGTGCCTGGGACGGACAGGGCCCTGAGCTGAGGCTTCAGAGTCTGCCTGTTGGAATCCTCTCCCCAGCCTTGTGAATGTGGATTCTCTTATTATCCGCAATTTATAGGAAACAGAAACACAGAGAAATGGAGCAACTTGTCAGCCAACAGGTCATCTCATCCACTTATCAGGGTCACAGACAGAGTTATTATGTAAACCAGATGCCAGCTGCCTATTCTCCCTCCCTGAGTAAGGTGGAGAGAATTCTGAAGTCAGCCCAGCCTGGGGCTGTAGCCTGTCCACCACTCACCAGCTCTTCATTTTTGGCAACTCTGAGTCTCGGTTCCCTTATAAAAAGGAGAAGAAAATAGTCCTGACTGCAGCCAGTGGTCAGGCCAGCGCCAGCGTGTGTGCTGAGTGTCAGGCACACACTGGGATGTCACTGAGCACTGGGGACAGACGCACCTTTGCTTGTTGCCCACACTCACCAGCTGCGTGACTTTGGGCTAGACCTCAGTTTCCTCATCTCTTATTTGGTGGTAATGATAGATTTTTGTGAGCATTAAACTAGATGAAGGGCTGTGAATAACCTAGGTGAGTCTGAAGTTGGTATAACAAGCTATCAGCTAATTTTGCTGATAGATGGATAATTGATTGATCTATAGAAGATTCATACCAGCATATCTGCCTGCTCTGCACTGAATACTGAGATTTCTTTTCTTCTTCTTCTTTTTTTTTTTTTTTTTTTTTTTGAGATGGTCTCGTTCTGTCACCCAGACTAGAGTGCAGTGGCGTCATCATAGCTCACTGCAGCCTCAGTCTCTTGGGCTTAAGGGATCCTCCTGCCTCAGCCTCCTAAGTAGTTGGGACCACAGGTGTGCACCACCACCCCTGGATAATTTTTTTAAAATTTTTTCTAGAGACAGGGTCTCACTACATGGCACAGGTGGGTCTGAAATTCCCAGGCTCAAGTGATCCTCCTGACTCTGCCTCCCAAAGTTCTGGGATTATAGGCATGAGCCACCATGCCCAGCCTGAACACTGAGACATCATTCACATGTGTGACATAAAACTGAGTATCTGAACAAGCCAGCATCTTTCACTCAAGTAATCGCTAAAGCCAATGCTTTTGCTTGAAATCATCTCATTTAAAACTCTGAGCAGTACATAAGGACCACCTCAATAACACATGGATCATCACAGTAGGCGAAGGGTCTTCTCTGCCTTCCTGCCCAGCAAAGGGGCAGACCCAGGTTTGGGATCTGGCAGCTGGGTGAGCCAGGAAGGTTCAGCCGTGGTGCCATTGTCATTCCCTCCGCCTGCCAGCAGGGGGCATGACACAGCTCCTAGGCAGTCCAGGAGCCAAGGGGAACCCCAGTTGGAGGGGGTACTCACTGTTCTCTTGTTTCTCTGGCAGACTTGGAGCATGGCAAGTCCAGAGCACCCTGGGAGCCCTGGCTGGACGGGACCCATAACCCAGTGCACTGCAAGGACCAAGCAGGAAGCACCAGCCACTGGCCCTGACTTCCCGCACCCAGGACCTGATGGGCACTTAGGTGGGCTTGAGGCTTGAGACTCGATCCGGGGGAGATGTCGGAAGACATTCAAAGTACAAATGTGGGTCGCTTTGGCGGATGCAGCAAGAGGCCTGGGCAGCTCTTGTAACTTGGGTTATCCCAAAGCAGGCACTGAGACACAGATCTGTGCAAGCTACTTATCCGGGAGATGGTCCCAGGAGTCACAGCAGGAGCGTGGGCAATGGAGGAAGGGCAGGGCAGGAGGCCAGCGCAGGGCATCAGCGAACAAATGGGCACGGTCGGTGGCTGGGGCTCAACTCCAGCAGGGGTCTTCTGGGAGACCCTGGAACATATCTCTAGGTTGTCCTATCTTAGGGGTGAGGGAGCTAGGCTGTTATCTACCAATCCCGTCCTGCATCAGAGAAGGGACGCTCCTGGGTCTGCTGCTATAGCCCTCGAAAGCCTTCAGGGAAGCCAGTAGCATGTTCCGGAAAAGTGAGTGCCAAGAGGGCATGGCCCAGCCATGGGCATGGACAGCATCTGCTGTAGCGCCATCTCCTGGAACTTTTCTTACAATCCTTCCAGATTCCCCTGTTGAATACCTGCTCTGTTCCCAGCCCTATGCAGGGCACTGCTGAAGCAGGAACAAAACAAATCAAACACCGCACTGGCCCTGAGGTTTGGCAGAGAAACGGATCAGTGAAACATAGTTAGATGTGCCACAAAAAAGGCTATAGGAGCAAGGTGGGAGGCTCTTACTCTAATGCCAAGGGGCATTTGCAGTGATGTGGGGGTTGAGTCTTGAAGGGTAGACTGGAAAAGAGCTGGGACCCATGCCCTTTGCAATAAAATGCACAATTATTTACACTTCTCAAGAAGCTCAGAGAGGCGCAGGGCTCGAGTGGAGTTTAAGAAACACTGTGTTCATTTTCCAGGCATGGAAATAGAGTTGGATGCAAAGCAGAGGAGTGTGTGTCTGAGAAGAGCCTGGCACATGGGCAGTTAGATGGGAACGTTGGGAAGAGCCAGCCCGCTGAGGCTGGAACACAACACCCTCATCACTCCCCCGACCCCCTCCCCCATCCACCAATGTGTGCTCAAGAAGTCCTGGTGACAATCATTAAGTCAGGGCTGCAGGGAGCTCAGAAACACGCAAGCCACGGTCTCTGCTTGTCGGGAGCAGGTATTTCACCAAGGCCAATCCGCAGACGATGTGAAGTGCCTGCACAGCATTTCACAGCTGAGAAACCACTTGGGGATGATAGGCTATTTGACATTCTCAGTTGTAGGGTGGATTCAGCCAGGCTGGACACAGAGGTCTGCCTGATGCCCTGGTTGGGCCTATAAATGGTGGGGTGGGAGTGAAAGATATTCAGCACTCTTTAGGAGTTCTGCTATCGCATCTCAGATCCACCCAGCCATCTCCCCAAGCCCTTGCCTCGAAAGTGCACTGACCGGGTGCAGATCCTTAAGGGTGCTGTCATTCCAGACACACACAGCGGCCTGAGCTCCAACTCCAGCATGACCACGCGGGAGCTTCAGCAGTACTGGCAGACTGAGAAATGCCGCCGGAAGCACGTCAAACTGCTCTTCGAGATCGCTTCGGCTCGCATCGAGGAGAGAAAAGTCTCCAAGTTTGTGGTAAGCAGAGATCGGGAAATGGCGGCGCCTCTTTCACTCTGCTTCCTTCCTGCCCCTGAACAAATCTTGTGGGGCCTCAGCTTTCCCAACTATGAAATGGGTCGACACACTCTAACTCACAGTGTTCTTCCGGAGAAAACGGCCAAAGAGCAAGATTTCAGGCTCAGTACCTGCTAGCCTCTGTGAGGATTCCAACCATATGACTCATGCTTCTTGGTTCTAAGAAGGAAATAGTCCAGTTTAATCCCATCTTATCAGGTGTGGGTCACCTGTATCCTTTCTTCACCAATTTTGCCATATCCCTGTATCCATTATAATTATTATTACTTATTTTTTCTTTCAATTGGATCACGTTTTTAAAACACAAGATACATTTATTTCGAAGAGAAATACCTTAAATGGAAAACCAACGTCACATGGCATAAAGAAAAGTAACAAGAAAAATCATACTAGAAAGGTCAGTCAATACAAGGAAAGCTATCTGCTGTTATTCAATTCTAGCTGGGTACTGTGGCTTCGGGAAGGCCCCGAGCCTGGGGGCCGCTCTCCCTGTTAGACTGGAATTTTAGCTTGTGTTAAGGAGATGTTCAAGACGTCCTAAGAGCCGCACTTCATCCTTCTCCTTCACTTACCTGGGACCAGGATAATAACAAAGCTAGAGCTGAATGCCAACGGCATGCTGGGCACAACTCCATGTGGTTTCAGTGCATTATGTCATTTAATCCTCACTGAGCGAGGTAGGCACTAGGCCTGTCCTCGTTTTATGAATGAGAAAACTGAGGCTCGGAGAGGTTAAATTACCAGTCTAAAACCACACAGCTAGACCAGGGTGGGGCTATAATTATAACCCATGCAATCTAGCTCTGGAGTCAGATGCATGGGTTATAATTGCCCTTAATATATAATTGCCCTTAATCAGGATTCTCTTGAAAGAGAATTGAAAAGGAATGATTTTCTTACTATATAACGCCATCACTGGTGAACCTAAATGATGTTATATTGTACCTAAAACTAACTCCCAAGTGTGAAACATTTGGAAAACACAGCATCCTAGCTCAGAAAATGCAGGCCCAGTTTTAGCAAGTAAAGCCAAGAGGGACTCCAGCAGCCTGCAGGCCAGGTCCCCGTGCCCTTTCTCCTCCCGGATGACCCCACCTTGCTGTGCTGTTGTTCCAGGGTTGACTCAGCTGATGCCAATAGCAATTAAAAACAGAATTGGGCCAGGTGCAGTGGCTCAGGCCTGTAATTCCTGCACTTTGGGAGGCCCAGGAAGGAGGCTCGCTTGAGCCCAGGAGTTCAAGAGCAGTCTAGTCAACACAGCCAGACTCCATATCTTTATAAAAATCAAAAAATATCAGCCGGACAGTGAGTGTGCCTGTAGTCCCAGCTACTCGGGAGGCTGAGGTGGGCGGATCACCTGAACCCAGAAGTTCAAGATTGCAGTGAGCTATGATCGCATCACTGTTCTCCAGCCTGGGTGACAGTGCAAGCCTCTGTCTCTAAATATAAATATATAAATAAACAAACAGAATTGCATATAAGGATCGCCCGTTTTTAGGGCATGCTTTACACCGGCCTGGTTAATTTTATTCTCGGGGCGCTCCGTCCACCGCAGCCCCCGCTGGGAGGTGGCCACAGCTCTCTCTGCGTTGCGCCCTAGGTGTACCAGATCATCGTCATCCAGACCGGGAGCTTTGACAACAACAAAGCCGTCCTGGAACGGCGCTATTCCGACTTCGCGAAGCTCCAGAAAGCGCTGCTGAAGACGTTCAGAGAGGAGATCGAAGATGTGGAGTTCCCCAGGAAGCACTTGACCGGGAACTTCGCGGAGGAGATCATCTGCGAGCGCCGGCGCGCGCTGCAGGACTACCTGGGCCTGCTCTACGCCATCCGCTGCGTGCGCCGCTCCCGGGAGTTCCTGGACTTCCTCACTCGGCAGGAGCTGTGCGAGGCCTTCGGCTGCCTGCGCGCCGGCCAGTACCCGCGCGCCCTGGAGCTGCTGCTGCGCGTGCTGCCGCTGCAGGAGAAGCTCACCGCCCACTGCCCCGCGGCCGCCGTCCCGGCCTTGTGCGCCGTGCTGCTATGCCACCGCGACCTCGACCGCCCCGCCGAGGCCTTCGCGGCCGGAGAGAGGGCCCTGCAGCTCCTGCAGGCCCGGGAGGGCCACCGCTACTACGCGCCTCTGCTGGACGCCATGATCCGCCTGGCCTATGCGCTGGGCAAGGACTTCGTGTCTCTGCAGGAGAGGCTGGAGGAGAGCCAGCTCCGGAGGCCCGCGCCCCGCGGCATCACCCTGAAGGAGCTCACTGTGCGGGAATACCTCCACTGAGCCGGCCTGGGACCCCACAGGGACGCTGGAGATTTGGGGTCACCATGGCTCACGGCGGGCTGTTTGGGGTTCTTCTTTCTTTCTTTCTTTCTTTTCTTTTTCCTATTCTCTTTTGGTATTTGAGATAGTCTTGCTCTGTCACCCAGGCTGGAGTGCAGTGGCTCACCTATGGCTCACTACAGCCTCAAACTCCTGGGCACAAGCAATCCTCCCACCTCAACCTCCCAAGTAGCTGGGATTACAGGTGCACACCAACACGCCAGGCTAATGTTTTAATTGTTTTTTGTAGAGACAGGGTCTCTCTGTTGGCCAGGCTGGTCTCAAACTTCTGACCTTCAATGATCTTCCTGCTCAAGCCTCCCAAAACACTGGTATTACAGATGTGAGCCACCACCCCTGGCCTGGGGTTCATTTCTAATGGGAAAAGCCATTAGGGGCTCTAACTCACTAGGTGACTTTAGACAAGCCCCTCCTCTGGTCCTCAATTTCCCCATCTGTATGGAACAGAGGTGCTCCTGGGGTCCTTGGAAGCCTCTGCTTGTGTCCCACGTCCCCTTGATGCCAGGGTCACTTCATCTCCGAAACAGAAACCCAGCTGACAAAACCCTGCAGTGTCCACCTCACCAGTATCTTCATGGGAAGCTAGAGGAGACGTTTACCTCACACATTCTAGACAAAGCTTAGTCCATTTCCTTGAAGACAGTTTTCTCTGGCTGTTCCAAGGCTTTTCTCTCTGTTCCTTCCACCTCAGAATTGCTTTAAAATATTCCCATCCATTATCCTAATACTGTCCTAATATTCTAGCCTTTCTCCTTTACTATGTAGACCTGACGCAACAAAACAAAAGCTCACCTATTGCCCTCAAGAACAGCCTCTACACACAAACACGCACACACACACACACACGGACACACGCATGCACATGCACACGCACACACGGACACACGCGCCCACACGCGCATGCACACACATGCGCACACACGCACACGCACAGGGTGGGAGTTGTATGCCATCCTTTGAAGGGTGGTAGGATCCTGAGCCAGAAAGCAATAATGGCATAAGATTTTATGATACAAGGCACTTTTGGCAAGGGAAGTTGCCAACAGTTTTTTCTGGCTGGGATGGCATAGCACATTGTCTAGGTGTAGATTTTCACTCATAAGGCAGCTGTTCCATGAATGGCTTCCCTGGGTTATGTAGACACAGCCCTGGGGAGGAGGTGATACAACATACTTAATGGGATTTCTGGGTAGAAAAGAGACTGAATCCTCAACACTGCCCCTTTTGAGGGTCTGTGATCCTGGAACCTCTCTAGTGGGTTGGGATGTCCTTGACTGAGGTCCGCTGTCTGGAAAGGACACCACAGGCCCAGAATGAAGGGGCTTCTGGATCAATGACCCAGATTCAACAGGGGGCTTGGAGCTGGTGGTACAGACAGGTTTTGGCTCAATGTGTGTTTGAGGCTGGAAGCCGCTGAAGACCTAAACGGCCTGGATGAGTTTATTAGGGTGAATTTAAAAGGCTGTAACTTGGGAACCTTAATGTGAGCCACCACTTAAGGGGAGGGACTTGGCCCAGCAAGTGATCACTCTAGAGGGGGACAAGCATGCACCAGACGGCACCAGAACCTGTTCAACAGCGACACCTTGTGGTAACAATTCTAGGCACCCCAGCAGGCTAGATGGGAGGTTAGAAACAGGTATCTTTGGACAGATACCCCTCAAGTCTCCCAATCTACTCCAGGGAAAAGACACTTGAACTGGGAGATATTGGACTTCTTGAAAAGCTGGACCTATGGAAAATTAAAGTATTAGATGGAAAAATTAAAGAACTGTTAGTCTATTTGTGATGATGAAACAGATTTTATTGATTTTGCCAGTTATTTCTTCAAATCTAAAATGCTATCAACTCTAAAATGCACCAAATATTTACTAAATAGAAAAAAGGCCCAACATGGACAGTTTAATGGCATATTCCAGAGGAAATTGGAAACCAAAGAGTCAGGCCCTGATGTAAGGGCTAACACCGAATAAACCTGTTGTACAGGAGGGGACATTAAGGAAATTCACAGCAATCAAACTTGGCACTGGGCAGAAGACCAGGAACTTCCTCTGAGAATTTGAACTGCAGGCTGGTGCTTACTCATGTTTGGGGGCTGAATACACACAGCATGGTCCAAAATTCCTCAAGCAGAGGAATCACGTTAAAGTGGTCTCAGGTGGAGGTATTCTAAGTGCCTCAAGACCTAGAGATCTTCAGGTCTTTCCTGGGCTGAAGGATGTCAGCATCAAGCCAGGCCAATAAGGAGTGTAGGGTGCCACTGAGTTCAGAGATGCTGAAATGTGAAAAAAAAAAACAAAAGTGCATTTCAAAATCAGAGATAGATAAGATGTGTGCAGGACGTGTGTGTGTGTGTGTGTGTGTGTGTGCGTGCACGTGTGTGTGTGTGCACAGAGAAAGAAAATACGTGTATGGGAGTAAAGGAGCCTACAGAATCACGCAGAGGGCTCCCCATCAGTACCTCTGAAGAGGGGCTGGCTTCCCACATGGACTTATTCAGCTTTCCCAAAAGGGACTGGCCACAACAGGGCGGCGTCAGGACCATCTCCTTGCCTCTTCCCGATGACTCTCAGTGCTGCCCTTCCTCGTGCTTCTCGCAGCCTTGACCTGAGGGTCCATGGGAGTTTCTTCTGGCCATGAACATTGTGTCTTCACCCACTACAAGTTGTCTGATGGCCTGGGATGGCCCACCACAGCCAGCTCCTCCTGGCATCTCTCATATGCTGCAGCAGTTAGGGCCCACACATTCCTTGGGTTCCTGGAATAAGTCCTTGAATCCCTCCGGCCCCCTCTTCCAGTAAGCTTTCCTCAGGGCTCACTGCAGCCCCACCAGGGTTCTCCACCTCCCTGTTTGCCTGGGCCTTCTCCCATGCCATCTGTATTAGTCTTTGTTTCCAGCGGACTTTAGAGTGGTGGCAGCTGGGACTGAACCTTCTTCTCCTGACTCCTCAAAAGCTGGGTCCACAGGAGAAGTGAGGTACCTGCCCTCCATATCCATGATGAGGCCTTGTTAGGAACACAGGATTTCAGGCCCCACCCTGGACCTGCTGAATCCGAGTCTGCACTTTAACAAGAGCATCCCCCACTGCCGCAGGTAACTCGTACCTGCACGCCTCGAAGGTCGCAAAGCCCAGTGTTGAACTGACTTTAAAGGCACCTCGATGAAAATCATCCATGGAACTGGCCTGTCTGCAGTCCTGGATTCATCCCCATCCTCATCGTCTCTCCACCCAGACCCCCTGCCATATAGGGGCCCCATCCCAAGGGACTGCAGATGGGAGCACCAGGCCAGCCTCACAACCATACCTGCAATCCCACTCTGGGCGTTCTGCCTGGAGCTTGAAGGAGTTTATTCCAACGAAGCCCTGCTCCAGCAGCCACTCCCCCCACTGGCAGTGATAGAGTCCTGGGGTCTCCTCTTAGGGCTGGGATGCCGGCAGTTCCCTGCCAAGCCCATGGTTGAAAACAAGCTCTGCAAGCAGCTCCCTGTGCAGTGATAGTCAGAGCTTCCCAGGCCTACTGCGTGGCCAGGCACTGCCGGGCCATCAGTCCAGCTCTGCTCAGGACGTGTTCCTATCCCATTGTACAGTTGAGGAAAATGGGATCATTTGTAAAACTGTAACCTGCGGGGGTTAAGTGACTTGTCCAGGGTTGCAATGCCGCCCTTAAACATATACCCTAGGCCAGGCACAGGGCTCACACCTGTAATCCTAGCACTCTGGGAGGCCGAGGCGGATGGATCACGAGGTCAGGAGTTCAAGACCAGCCTGGCCAACATGGTGAAGCTCCCTCTCTACTAAAAATGCACAAATTAGCTGGGCATGGTGGTGTGTGCCTGTAATCCCAGCTACTCGGGAGGCTGAAGCAGGAGAACTACTTGAACCAGGACCTGAGAGGCCGAGGTTGCAGTGAGCCAAGATGGCGCCACTGCACTCCAGCCTGGGCTACATAACAGGAGCAGGAAATGAAGCTCAGGCTTTAATTTGACCCAAGCACTACCTTCCTTGCTGAGCCCCACGTGAAAGGATGTGGAGGAGAGGAGAAGGAATAGGTCCCTGGTGTCCTCACCAAAATGGGTCCTTGACATGGTTTGGGTGTATGGTTGTCGCCTCCAATGCCATGCTGAATGTGACCCCCAGTGTTGGAGGTGTGGCCTGGTGGGAGGCGTGTGGGTCATGGGGGCAGATCCTTCGCGGATAGCTTGGTGCCTTCCCCGTGGTGATGAGAGTGTTCTCGCTCTTTTCGTTTACCCGAGAGCTGGTTGTTCAGAAGAGCCTGACATTGCTCTTGCTCCTTTGCCATGTGAGGCACGAGCTCCTCCTCCCCTTCCACCGTGAGCAGAAGCTTCCTGAGGCTCTACCGGAAGCAATGCCAGTGCCATGCTTCTTGTACAACCTGCACAACTGTGAGCCAAAGAACTCTTTTTCTTTTCTAAGTGACCTAGCCTCCGGTATTCCTTTAAAGCAATGCAGAATGGGCTGCCACGGCCCTTAAAGGTCATTTCACTCATCTCTGTTTACAGATGGGGAAATCAAGGCCTGGAGAGGTGACTCACCCAGGGCCACATGGTGAGACAGGGACAGCACCAGGACCAGACCCGAGACGTCCACGTCAAAGTGACATGCTTTCAGAGGCAGCACACACAGAACAACCCCGCATTCAAATTCCAGGAAGCCCTTGGGGGTCACCCAGCTGGGGCTGGGGGTGCAGGGTCAGTACTGAGGCCTGGGCAGGGCCACTGGCCTCCCTGAGCTTCCTGGCTCCAGGCTGGGAGGCACAGTTCAGGGTGGACTGTGGCCCCTTGGTCTAGCATGCCCTTAGCTCTGCTCTCTAGTGGCTGTCCCCATAGCTGGAACTCTCTTTTGAAGCAACCAATCCCGTTCCACCTGCCAGTAGAGGTGGGCTGGCTCCCAGCACGTCCCCAGCAGGCCTCTCTTGGGCTCAAAAGCCAAGCTGTGCCCAGCCACGCCTCCAGATGCTCCCTGGCCCACAGGCAGCACCTGCATTCAGCTGCTTTTCCAGAACTTCCTGTGTGGCCCACACCCCTTCCTTCTGCAGCCCAACAATGCCGCAGCCTGGTCTATTAACCACATGCCATTTTCCTTTCAGCATTCTCCTTTGACTTATGCACATTTACTTGAAAAAGAAACTTCCTATTACTACCCTAAATGGAAACTCACAATCACTTGCTATCATTAGAAAGTAGCTATAAAAATAAACACAATAAAAGCGATCACTGTTATTACACCTAACAGGCTTTTACCTGAGGCAGATCCTGAGCCTGAGGCTGCTGATAGACTTTTGTTAAAAGAGAGAGTGAGAGAGAAATAGGTGTAGAGACCTGCAATCACCAAGCTGAGACTGCTCTTTGATTTACTCAGAAGGACTGGAAAACGTTGCCCCGAGAAAGGAGATGTGTTTCTCACCACGCTGCGCTCATCACCCCGTGTTGCCTGCAGACCATCTAGGGTTTTGCTCGAGCGCCCTGGAGACTTTGCTCCCTGGTTTCCTGGTCCCTAAGTCATGTGTTCAGCCCTGTGCGCTCTCCAGCTCCTAAGTCGCCGGCCTGGTTTCAGCTTTGATTGCCCACTCTTAGCTTTCGAACCAAAGGCTCCGGCTCCTGGTGCTACACCCTGATATCAAGACCCTCAAATGAAACGAGTGTTCTGGGCTGGTCAAAGCTTGAACCCGCAGCATGTCCCTGAATGGGTGCCCCCACCCATCTAGCTGTTGCTCCGATGATAAGAGCAAGAAATGACCTCCCTTCCAAAGGTCCCTGCACCAAGCCCCTTCCCAGGGTCAGGCCCCTCATTAGCTCCAGGCTGGGAGGCACCGTTCAGGGCGGACTGTGG